ACAAAGACGTTTTCCTTTTGACATTTGGCTACGTATCGATGTCAGAACGAGTTTGAACAAGATCCAGATATGAAATCAATATTCTCAGAACGATTTTTTTTACTTCTTTCAGTAACGCGAATAATTTTGAGCCATGTATATAATGCCCAATATTAAACAAGTGTTTCAACAAATGTTAGAAAGGGTTTAAAATGTGAAGAACTTGAAGTATTACTAAGTGATAAATGAGCGATTGATACAGCAATTCAAAACTTATAAAAAATTGGTAAAAAATGCTAGTAGTCTGTCACTGAACTGTTAAATTACTATAATTGTCAGATCACCGTGATTCTTTTAGTTCTTTAAAGAAATTGTTTGGTAATGAAAACAGTAGATTTTTATCTCTAAATTTGATTCAATAATGGCATAGAGTTACACTGTATACGACTAACACAAAAAAGAATGCTGCTTTTTATTTAGGAGACGTAATGACAATTAAAATTATTCATGTTACTTATGAAAGCATAAAAGAAAGTAGAGCGAAACTCTATCGCCGCAACCACCTCTGAAAATGACTGGTTACTTAGTGTTTATGAGCTCATAAAATAAACTTCTATGTTGAACATTACTTTTCTAAAACATCCTCAGAAGAAAGGAAAATCATCTCGAACTTTGGATGGTCATCTTGAGAGGCAACGCCATCGAATCGTTAAACGCCATCAAATAATTCATATCTGATTTTTTAAAATTCTTAAAATTAAAAAAATAATGAAGTCAAAATTAAAAAATTATGAAGCCAAAATATTATTAATTAAAAAAATCGAAATGCTTATTCATGGAACAACCCTAGACTTGAGTCGCAAAAATTGGCAAAATTATTATTATATTGTTCATATAAGTTCTGTTTATTGTAATAAGGGAACAAATATTTCTGAATTTCACCGCCATTTAAGATTTTGGCCCAGATATGACACTAATTCTTGAATTTATTATGAGTCATCAGGAGTTGTAGGCTTACACGTGATCTAGTATTGCTATTTTGTCCAATAATCCTAACAGATGTGAAGCGAAATATCGCTATTTCTGAAACAAGGACTCAAAAATAACCTTTTTATTTAAACGGAATTTAGAATATAAATGTACTCCCTTGGGCTACAATATAACCATAACTCGTGGTGATTCAACTAAACAGAACAGTCAGATTTAAGTTAAACGTACTTTATTCCATACTTTAATTGCTTTAACTAAAAATTAAACGTTTCAAATATTCCAAAACGTTTCAAATATTCCAAAAATCATAACGACGAAATGAAAGGGTGTTCGAAGAGTTGACATTTGTGATTTGTGAAGCACTTCTACAGCTCTATAAATGAGGGAAGGAATGCTTAACATATGGAAGAAAAAAAAAAAAAAGTGATAAAGACTTTTCCCCAATCTTTCGATGTTTAGAATTTAGTTTTAAATTGTGTACGCTCTGTGTATGTCTCCAAAAAATTTTTAAAACCTCCTTTATTTAAAAACAAATTAACTAATACATTTGTGGGCATTTATTTAGTTTAACTAGCGGTTAATTTTTAGTTAAAGCAATTTTTCTTTCAGTCTTGTTGTCACCCACGCTTTGCCAGAATGCTAATAAGATAGCTCGCGTACATTCAAACTGAGGTAGAAAAAAGTGCTGTTTAAGCGAAGCTTTTGGACGGTGATTTTAGAGCGTGATATGCCTGCTTGAAGGCCACGTTATTACTTTGAATTATTAGAGAATTTTTTCTGTGGCAATGAGTGCTTCTAGCCATTCAGCTTGTTTCCGCCGGTTTCTCCTCGTCAAAGACTTTTAATTTATCCTGCGCGTTAATTTATTCTGTGAGCTGTTAGGATAATTTAATTACATTTTATTTTAAAATTAATTACTTGATTTTAGTTTTAGTCGCATGTGATCAAAATATTATGGAAATATTTATTTTGGAAATTTACCTTTAGTGTTAATTCAAAAAGGTTTTAAATATGTTTTATATTCAATTAACTTTGTTTCACATTAGATTAAAAATCGCAAGATTAGTTAGTCACTTCTAAACTACGAGAAATTTCGTTTTCGTGCATTGAATTGAAAAATTAATTTTTATTATTGAACACTGTCATGATAAAACACTTTTATTCCTCAAACTGACATTATTGTCAATTATTTCAATATAATTATATTGTCAATCAATTATTTCAAAAAGTAATTTCTTTCATTTTCGACTCACAGTGCTGATAGTATTCTTACTACCTTTACTGGCAATAAAAATAACCAATTGCAAGGGAATGAAAACATTGGCATTGTGTCATATACTCCATGACATTTTACTTACCGTAATTTAAACAAAATGATCCTCACATGTCTGAAATAAATTGCTCATGATCTTTCATTGGTTCCCAGACAAATGCCCACTGGACTAAAGCGCACGCGACAAAAGCCCACAAAAAAAAAAAAAAAAAAAAAAAAAAAAAAAAGGCCCGCTATGATAATTGCCTACGCGACAAATGCCCACAGCGATGAAAGCGCACATTGATAAATGCTCAAACTGATAAAAGCCCACATTGATAAAAGCCCACATAGATATAAGCCCACGCTGATAAAAGCACACACTGATAAATGCGCACATAATCAAAAGGGACTTATGGTTTTTATTACTATAAAATGTTTATAATTTTAATATAATAAATGGAGTATTCAGATCTGAATTTTAATGTCTCTAATATATGTCTGTTTATATATTTTATCACTACTTTATTTTTTTAATTTATTAGGTTGAAAGCAAACTTTCTGCTCTCTGATTGATTAGCTATAACATTTCGATGATAAATCTGAAATTGCATTTTATTATTTATTTACTTATTTAACTTTGATATGGGTATGTGAAAATGAAAAATATCTTTGTGAAGTTTCTCACGTGCTATTTTTAAGGTAATATGGCTGAGATTAAATATAATTATGTTTCATTATTAAAACAATTAACTTTTTAATTAAAAAACGCTTAAATTTGATTTTCTTCCTTTTTAGTTTTTCCTTTAGTTCCTCTTAGTTCCTTTTTAGTTTGGTAATATTAAAACAGTTAAGCACAATGAAAACTTCTCTAAGAGATATTTTATTCTTTACTTTAGACTGAGCTTATTGTCAAAGTTTAAACATATATCTCATTGAAAGCTTTTTTGAATGCAACAATTATAATTTGGCGATTTTCTAGAAATATTTTCTTTCAGATTTCTGAATAAATTAAAACTGTCAGCTGACACCCTATCAGAAAATGAATTCCAAGTGTAACCTCTTAATCTTTCAACTACATCAATTTGGAATAGTGTTTTTAATTTTCATTTTATTTATTTATTTTTGGGGGGTGGTGGAAAAACTCTTAGAAATCAACATGTCTACAAATTTAAAAAGTACAATCATCGCAATCTATAGTAATAAATATGTAGCATTTCATTAGAGTTTGTGAAGATTACAAAAAAATATTCATATAATAACATCTAATAAAATTTTGTAATTAAATGAATACATACAGTCATCAGATTCAAAGTTCATAGTTTTTAGATGATAAGTATACACATTATATAAATTCATCATTCATTTATAGTATTATGTATAGTAATATAAAATTAGTATTTAATGTTTCAAATTGCATTTTTTTTAATAATTTGTCTTGCATTTACTGTATATTTGTTCAAGACGTATGGATATCAGTTATAAAATATGAAAAATCACAGAAAGCAGCTAATCTTATATAACAGCTTATACAACAGCTAACAAGTGGGAATGAAATTAATTTATGTAAAATCCAAGTTGTCAAAATTTAACTAGATTATTTGAAACCGTGCTTTTAATTCACTATGAAAACAGTACTTGTGATAGCGCACACAAATGTTTTCTTAATCATAATAGAATACGGTACTTTTATCTTTCTCGTTGAAATAAAAGTTCGGCTTTATTTCAACTTTTAATTCTCCATATTAAATTCATTATGTGCAAAATTTTCTGCAGTGTTAAATTAGTCATAAATTATTCTCTGTATATGACGAAAATTTACATACATTTTATATTCCTTATAATTTTGTAGAATTAAAAGCAGCAGTGTGGCCAATATTCTCTTTCACCTCCCTTTGTCGGACTTATACGAGGACATTTCCATTTGAAGCGTAAATATAATAACAAAGTTACACATACATGTATATGTTTATAATTACATTATTTTGATTGACTCTCTTAATTCAGCTGGGGCCCAAAATGAAATGTGTTCCTCTACTTAAATTTATTGTTCAATTATTTGTTATTAATTTAATTTATTTTTTATTTTATCTTTATTCATGAATCTACTTTGTGCAGCTGAAGAAAAAAGAAAAAAATATTCATTTTAATGTAGCTTATATATCGGTGTGGGTTTTGTCAGTGTGGGCTTTTATCAACGTGAGCTTATACCTATGTGGGCTTTTATCAATGTGCGTTTTCATAGGTGTGGGTATTAATCGCGTGGGCAATTATCCCAGTAGGGTCTTTTTTGTGGGCTTTTGTCACGTGCGCTTTCGTCCAGTGGGTTTTGTCTGGTCACCTCTTTTATTATATGTATTGCTGTGTTATTGACAATAAGAGATAAGTATATTTCGTGAACGTATTGAGCAGGAATTTTGAAAATGATTTAAAGTTGTTATTTCCTTTAGTACTTTTGTATTAGAAAAGAAGGAAGGCGTATCTAAAGTATTGATATAAATTTAAAAGGTAACCATATCATAACAATAAATCAAAGTGATTTTTTTTTTGTTTTTGTTTTTTTTTTCTAAACAAACAAAACTTTATTCTCATTTCCATGTTTATGTAAGTTTAGATCATTATTAGGTTCATATAAAAAAAGAAAAAAAAACTCTTTAGCAGAATATGGCAATTCTGAAAATTTCATCAAAAAGATTTTACATTTTACCCAGATATTTACAATAAGCAGATTTGATGTATTTCAATCATAAAGCAAAATTTTACCACTAATTGTACTTACATCATATTTCAGCAACCAAAATGAGATTATTTGGACATCAGCATGTGCTTGTGCTCGGCTCTCCTTTTCATACCACTAGAAAAGTGAAAATATATAAATAAAATATAAATTTTGTGTTTTATTACTGATGGTTAAAACAGTTCAATAATAAGATCAATTGTTTATTTGTTTCATAATTGAATTAAATTAAATAAATATGCTAATAATGAAAATTAATCGATTCTTTGAATAGACGTGCAAGAGTTATCGTATAAAGTATGAAGAATATATTTCAGGACTGACAAGGATAATAAAACAAAGAACAGTTCCTGATTATACGGATAAAACTTTCTCTAATGTCTAAACCTATTAATGAATTTACTTGCTTAAAAATTTCCACCTTATTGCAAAAGGGCCAGATTCCGAATTAGATGAGTTGGAATACTTGAAGACCTGTTTGCTGACTAATGAGTACTGTAGAATTATGGGCTATAGGCGAATTAAACAAATCCAAATTTGAGAAAAGCTCAAGCCAAGTGATGTTGAACAAGGATTTGTCCTTCTAACTGGAATGGGAAAGTATATGCACAGTTCCCGTCACATTAACAAGCAAGCATAATAACCGTTTAAATCGTAAACTTAATCATGTGTTCCTACTGCCAGTAGTTGAAAGCAATATAATCTGAATGCCATTAGGGTTGTGGAATTCAGAGAAAAATTGAGATCAAAGATACAAAAAAAAAAATAAAGTTTGTCCCATAATTTCAAGTGTATAAAACATTTATTTGAAACGAATAGTAACAACTGACAGATTTAGTTGATAGTGCTAAACAGATTTTTGATGATGGTTTCATAAATCCAAAGATAAGGAAAACGGCTTTTTTCTTCTAGATGCTGCAATACAGCTTTTATCTTGGCGTAAACGGACTTGAAATCCCATTGAAATAAAAGTCAACTAGTATCAAATATTGAGCTTTTTGCAGCCTATATGCTGTCTCGACAATATCGAAGCTGCCGGTCAATGTATTTGATGAAATGATGTAGTGCTTTGAAATTCGTGAGCAAGATGCTTGAAGGTGTAATTTCCACTTAAGGAACTACATTGCATGCTATATAATTTTGTAAAAGAAATATAAATGATTTTTAGAGCTGAGGACTATTACTGTTAGCAATAGCTTATAGCAATGCGTGTGAATATTTAAATTACATTTCGTATAAAGTATTACAATTATATCTCACCTTGGTTTCTTTTATAGCCTCTTTAAGAAGGTAGTCAAAATACTTTTTTTTAGATTCTATTTTATAATCCATCAGTTTTTTCATGTATGTAAATTCTTGAAAAGTACCCGATTTTTTTTGCTTCTTCTTTTTCTGAAAATCCTCATCAGCCGCTTTAAAGCACTGAATTGCAGCTTCGTTTTGTTTTTTAATTTTTGGCAGTAAAGCTTTCATATCTTCGATTTGCCTCCTTTTGGATTTCAAACTAAAAATAGTAGCGTATATTAATAGAAATCATAAGAGCATTTCCTAAAATTTTATTAGTTTTGAAATTAATTAATGAATTTTTAAGAAGATTATAAGGAAGTTTTCATGCAAATTATTAATATAAGGGAACGTTAAAACTGAATGAACGCATATTTTTAAAACAGTAGTGCCATTACAAATTTCTTAGTGTTGAAAAACTATCATATGATAATGACTCACATTTAACAATCTCAGAAGTTTATCACGATGGGTTCCTGCATAGCTTTAGTGCTTCAGCTCAATTTGAGCTTCATTTACAAGCCGCTTTGTTACAGACCCTATCTAAATAGTCCCTTTCCGGATCCTATCTATAGTCTCACTTTATAGTCCCTTCCCGGAATACTTCTGGAAAAGGAGATTTGTTTCCTTTTTTATGTGTGCGGTGAGGCTGGATCCCTAAATCATTGCATAACAACCTGCCCACTCATAGAGGCGTGGCACATGTATTTGTCAGACACTGTCATCTCTTTATGCTGTTCCTTTTTAAGCAGACGGCAGTCTTTAAGAAATATAATGAAAAAACTAGAGGCACTAGGGTGGGACCACTGTCATTCTGGGGGGCATTAATATGCTCCTGTGTATTTAAAATGGCATAGAGTGAATAGTATATGCACTGTATGTAGTACTACTGCACACATTGACTGTAGCTCTGTTCGTAACGAAACACAATGACTGTAGTATTGATGACACAGTAATGACAGCAGAACTGACTGCAATGTGTAAGTAGTACTGAGAACTATATACAGTAGTACACGTCAAGTCCAGTATGGTGTAATATACAAATAGCTAGTACCCTTAATATAATGTTTGACAGGCAATGTAAAATATATTTAATGAATATCATATATATCAAATTTAGTATGTTGTAACAATCAGTATAGCATTATGTATTTTATGTTTAATGTATTGCAACAGTAATTTTTATTACGAAGTAATTTTAATAATTTTGTATAATGTTTTGCTATTTCGTATAATCTGTATCATGTGCTTAATTTGTTGTTATGATAACTAATGTATTATATGTGTTAGATGTTCGTTTGAATTTATTAAATACTAATGTCAATGACTATGTAGAATGCAAATTCAACAAACTCCCAATGCGGCCTTTATGCTGCTCTAGACAATTGCCATATCCGGACATCATCCAATAAGTCTATGTAAGCCGCTTGGGTGTCTGGATCTGCTCTCACCTGCATACTTTTAGTATACAATACTCGACCCTTATTGAACACATTGTTTAATTAATTTAGCCACGTTTTAAGCTCAGTTCAAAGAACCAAAACGGATACATACTAGTCAATAGAAAAGCCACTGTTTATTAAACTTAAATTGTCAAAAAGACTGATTCTTCAGTGCCAGAATATCTTACTCGCATCTATCAAAGCTTTTCATTCATTTATTCATTCATTGTGGACCATTCATTCGTATTGTGGACCATGGCTTTATCATTTAGATATGCACTATTTGAATAAAATGGGTTTGACCGAACATGTCCTACCTCTCGGTCCCTGTGCTTGTGAGACACTGTTTTGAGAAGCGAAGAATTTCCTTCCCTTAAGGTCAAGCAGAGCAATCCTTTTCAGACATTATAAATGAGTGAGGGCTCTTTCTATTTGTACCAGCTAATAGGAAATGGAAATACAACTTCTTTATTCCAGCTTTTATGGTTTTTCACGTCCAAAATCTTCCCTTTAGAACAGACACATTGTTCACACAGAGTTGTAAAAAAATATCATGAAATGCTTCCAAAAATTACCATACATTACGAGTTTTTGAATGGAAATGATTTGGTAATTGCAAACTGATGGAAAAGGAAAGAATTCGTCATGCTAATCAGGGAGCATTGGTCAGGCTCGTAATCAATAACAGGCAGATCGACTAAACAGGAAAAGGGTAATCTTTCTATCCTTTTCCTGAAACCTAACTACTGAAATTTGAATAAATCATTGGAAGAAAATTTTTTTAATTAGTTGTGAACTTTGTAACATTGCCAAACGAAATGATTTCTGCTTGAAAGAAAATAAACTGTTAAAAGCTTATAAGGTATTTCTCCCGCCTTCCTAGCGTGCCTTCGTGATGTAGTGGTTCTGCAAGCTGGGCCTGTACTCCCGGAGGTACGTGGTTCGATTCCCGGAGACGGCGATTGCTCATTTTTTATCTTGCCTGCTTCTAAAAAATACCTAATGTCTTTACAAGTGGCGCTAGAACTAAAAGGGTGCTGGATGATGATTCTCCTCACCCAGGACTTGGCGATTGGGTCTCCTAAAAACCCCCGTCGCCCTTTAAAAGGGGGGAATATATAAGGTATTTTTCCCGCCTTCACTGCGTGCCTTTGTTGTGTAGTGGTTCTGCACGCTCGGCCGGTATTCTAGAGGTCCGTCCGTGGTTCGATTCTCGGCGAAGGCGATTGCTCATTTTTCATCTTGCCTGCTTCCAAAAAATACCTAATGTCTCTACAAGCTTTTAATGTTTTTGTAATTGCAGCCAGAGAAAATCTGAATTTAAACTGTGAATTTCACAAATATTATTGTGTAGTTTACTTAAAACAAGAATTATAATGAATGAAGAGCTAATAAAAAATTAAGGAATGTCTCAAGGAAGCGCAAGAAAGAGAGAAAATCGAGAAACGTTGAAACTGCTTTTCTAGAATGGGTTTCTAGCTACCATATAGCTAAAAAAATGTTTCTAGGTTTAGAACTTCTTAACTGATTCAGTAAATGCTAGGCGAAAACTTTATATTGACATATGGCTCACATGTTGGAGAAGGTGAAATAAGTGAAATCCAACACTATCCGTCAAAAATTGCATGGCGAAAAGGAAGAAGGGGATCACCATGCTGCTGGCAACTGAATACAAATCGCTTTATTTGGACTGCTAAATGAATACAAGTCACACGAAATCTTTAATACAGACGAAACTAGATTGAGCTGCAGAATATTAATAGAGCACACAATATTTAAAAGTAAAACAGAAGTTGGTTTAAGGAACTAAAGGATGATGCTACTGTGTTATAAACTATGCTTATGTTACTGTGCAATACGGACCCAAAAAATTATGAATTCAGCACTTGTTATTGACACAAACAGATAACTTCGATGTTTAAAAGCAGTCAAGAATTTATTTCTAACTTACCATAAGCAACAAGAAGTCATGGATGACAAAGAGTATTTTCCTGATTTTCGTTTTAGTTGGAACGGCAAACTAAGAAGTGAAAAAATAGCTTTAAATCATTCGAAGAGACTCTTTTTTTTTTAATTTGTTGCAACCGAATCTGTAACGCATCTACATGACAAGCGAAAAGACATACGTCTGAACGAAAACAATAAATTGTTTAATGTTCTTGGTAATTGCAACCAGAGAAAAACTACATTTTAATTAGGAATTTTCCCAGCAACATTGTGCAGTCTACTTAAACGAAAAATTATAATAAATGAAAAGGTAACAAAAAATGCAAATATTTCAAGGAAGCTAAACAAAATCGAGAGATTTACGAGATGGTAGGGCCTTTTTATTCTCAAAACCAGGATTTATTGCTGACGAAAACAGGAAAACTCGATGTTTCAAAGCTGCTAAAAATAAACTTCTAACTCACCAACCATACTTGTAGCAACAAGAACTCGTAGATGACAAATAGTACTTTTATTAATTTTATTTTTAGCAATTATTTATATTACATTAATTATTTATATTCATTAGATAACTGCGCAGCACACGCACCCCTAATCTCTTTCTGAAAATCAATAATATCGCTTTCTGCAAATACAACTTCTAACATTAAACCCTTTATTTTAGGGTATTATAAAAATTTCAAATGTCATTACTGAAAAATATTCAATAAAAGATGAACAGAACTGAATTTTATGAAAGCGCAAGCACTTCGAAATAATTTTAGTTAAAATAATACGCAGAACAAATATTAATTTAGAAGTCAAACAACAAAAATAAGCGTTACATTTGCAAATTTTCACAGGACTAGTTTCGATGATTTTACCGAACTATCCTCCTCAGCTACCAAAGTGCAAATGAACGAGATAAGATATAGTGAAAAGTCACTATATCTATCTTTCCACTATATCTTATCTCTTTCATTTGCACTTTAACAACTGAGGTTGATGGTTGGTAAAACCATCGAAACTAGTCCCGTGAAAATTTGCAAATTTTTGCAAACTGATTTTTGTTGGACATCTAAATTAACACTTCAAAGTATATAAGTCAATATTTTTGTTAGAAGCCATGCATAGTACAATAATGCAGCTTGTCAGTCTCTTAAAATAAGTTAAAACTGTTTTCAGAAATGTGACGTTTATGTAGAAGAAGCTTCAGAGGAATTTCAAACTATAGCTAATGTTTCAGGCATCTGTGAAGGAAGTTATGAGGATTCATTTTTGGAATATGTTGTGTTAATTCACAAAAATATTAATACAAGTTGTGTAAACACTGATTAGGAAAGTGTTAAAAGAACTGCAAAAAGCAAAAGTAATGATATGCCATCCTCCACTGAATCTAAAAAAGCACTGAAAATTCTGAGAAAAATTCTTGAACTGAAAAGTGCAAAAACACTATCAATAGCTTTACGAGATTAATACAATTGAAAAACTGCTGTCGAACAATGTGAAACAAAAACAGCTAGAGTAGCTGTTTGTTAGAGAGAAATTTCATTTAGAATATAATTATAAAAATATTTTTGGAAATTATAAAAAACTTTATACGCAATTTTTAAATTCATTTAAATATTTTTGGAAAGTTTTTTAATTGAATTTAAAAATTGCATATATAGTTTAATTTTAGTATTAATTTTTTACTATTATTTTTAGATTAACTAGCGAATTATTTGCTAGTTATTATTTACTTGAAAAACATAAAACTCTCCGTCTATTAAATTCAGCTGCTTGATAAATTCAAACACGTGTAGAATGTAGGGGATTTTAATACGCGGCGAGTACTGTATTTATGAATCACGTAGTGCATTTAGCCATTGTTTATAAAAAAGCAGTGCTATGCACATTTTCTCAAAATTATTGCTTGTATCTATTATAATCTGTTAATCCCCCGATTAACTCAAGGATTATCTAAAGATTTCCAGTTCATTATTATTTCCATTAAAGCACACATGTTTACATACATAAACTAATTACTTTACCATTACTGAACTTATTTTTCGAACTGTCTAATTTTCAGAATTATTAAATGAGCTCTCAAGTATGTAAAAGTGGGAGATGACAGAATTTGCAACCCACGAGTTTGCGAAAATATAAATAGTTGTCTTAGCGTTGAAATCAACGCCTTAGAATTCGTGTCGATGTACTAATACTTACGCACGTGTATATATAAAAGAAATATATTGATTTCTTGTAAGAACTACTAAAGCATTCAAAGCACATCTAAATTATTTGGCTTGTAAATCAGCAATTATTTAAGTAAAAATATATTACCGTAAGGTTTTGTAAATATTTAAATCCTTTATGATTGTTTGGTTATTTAATTATTTGTTGCCTCTTAAAGTGATGATTTTAGGATTAATGTTGTGTTTAATCCCCGTAATATTGTATTGGCACGTTGTTTGGGGCCATGGTTTTGCACATAACTATTTATTTCTTATACAGAGTTGGAAATAGAGTCAGTTTGAATGCCTAGCAGGCATTAGAATGCATGTAGTCATCAGACTTATACAGAGTTGTAGATCTTTCAGTTATGAGTCCAACAACGTTTATATTGTAAGAACAGCTCCAACAGAACGTGAGACATGGGCTAATGCGCCCTGACGGACTTTGGCCAGATCCGACAATTCTTCACCAACCAGGCGATATTCTGAAAAAATCAGGGAAAACGTATTTTCGAAAGCCTAAGACCAGTTGTTTTCGATACTTCAGAACCCCTGCTGGACTGCATGCTTTTTCCTTTTCCTTGAGCTAATTGCAGCTATTTATTGTTCTGTGAGTCCTGAATTTTTATAATTAAATTGTCAACTTCTTCTTGCTTATCTGGAGAGATTATCAGCAAATCTGTAGCTCCCAATCGTATTTAAAACCTACATGCACAAACAGTTAAACGAATACACTAATCTGAAGGTATCCACTTGAGCTTAATTCAAATCTCTGATAGATTTGAGTTACTGAAAATGTCAGCTGTTCTTTTAAAGAACTTTACTCGTGCTTCAGTTAACTTCATACAGAACTAGCTCAGTGGTGGTGTAAAATATTATCCTTCTGGTTATTAAGTTCAGATCTCCTCTAAATGAAACATCTTAATAATACATATCTTATTCCTTCATACTACTTCAATTTATGCAAGAAAGTGACTCAGAGAAATTAGAAATGATAGAACAGGAAAATAAAAAATTAACAGATATCACATAATGTCTCGTCCGGCACAAATGAAATTTTTAAACTAGACTCTTGACGCATATCCTGCTTTCAATTACGGGACATCCGCTTCCTAAAACTTTGTGAAGTCCGCAATAAATAAATTGAAGCAATGTGGCCTGCACCAAAGAATCTCTAAGGAGAGATCTGCAGGTAAAGAATCCCTTAGAGATTCTTTGCCTGCACGTCTTCATCGTGACTAATGCTCTGGGGTGTTTGTTTCGAACTGTCTGACTCAAAATTGTCGTTGGTTTCAATCAAAAAGAAACATAGTTCTCAGTTCGAATATTGTTTTATTTATGTAAATTTAAATTCAGTTTGTTCTTTTATTATATACAGTATATGTAAATGAAATCAGCGTGAAATGTAGAGGATTAATTGAAATTAAAGTGTGAAATATTCGGTTTATTTGCTTACATTTCTTTACATTTTGTTATAAACTAACTCGATACTATTAAAATTATGCAAACATTTGTGATTATTTATTTTTATTTGTTAATATTTTGTTTGTTTATTTATTTATTTTGTATCTGAGTACGGTACTCTCAAAATTTACATAAATATTTGCGTTTATGTAATTGTATTTCTTTGTATCAGCTGTATATTAGTTTCTGTATAATTTGTGTTACTATATATTTGTTTTTGCGTATTTAGTGCTAAGTCAAGTATTTGTTTTGCATAAGTTTATTGTAATTTTTAATTGCAGGCATGTGTTGTATTTTTGTTTTCGAGTGCTTTATTTGTAGCATTTGTAATTCGGTGTTTAAATTATGAAAATAGTTTTAGAAGAATTCGAGGTATAGACTATTGACCCCTAGCAGGCCCTGATGGCCACCAAGACTGTAGAGTGGTTAAGGGAGCCCAGTGCGTAAACGAAGGGCCCGAGTTAGAATCCCGGAGAAGGCATGGATGTTTATAAATATATAGAGTCTTTGCGACAGGGGGGCACTCTAAATACATGGTAAGCCGACAGTCTTTTCGTGTTTTTTGGTGTTACTCTCCCTGAAAATTGGGGTGGAAATAGAAGTCCAACCTCATTGAGGCTCTGCCAGCTAATCTTCCATGAAGTATGGACTCAATAACAACAGGCCCTGATTGCAAACAGTTGTTCCCAAGCTGATGAAATTTTGGAAGTTTCCATAAAACGTATTTTCGAGACCGCAGTCTAAATTTTTTCTGGAATGTTCTGGTGATATGTTCTCTTTTCGCATCAGCTGATAATGTACAATATTAACTTGTGAAAGGCTTCAGTTTATTAAAAATCAATTTGCTTAGAAGTGTGAAAGGCTGTTGTGCGATTGAGTCAAGCTAATTATTCACATTGACACCAGAGTAATGTTTCACTAATTTTTAACCTTTGCCCACAAAGCGATTTTCTGATCTTGTATATTCGTCCTACATTAAGCAGTCGTTTTGCCCCAAAGCAAAACACTCGAGAGCTATCTGCCTATGGGATGCCTTCGAGGTAAACTTTATAAAGAAAGCAGGTTTGCATTCACATTACACATCATTAACGTCTAATGGTTTTACTTCAGCTAAAACTAGCTATAATTTTCTTCATTCGTAAAAATTCACGTAGCTGAAGGCCGTAATAGCGTTCTTCTTTTCAGTATTTCTTCTCAGTCCATCTGATTAACATATCATCAACAGAAAATCAGGTAACTGAAAAAATTAATATCACATTCTCACAAAAATTTCACAAAATGCACACTGCTGAATGAAATCCCATTCATAAACCATGGATAATATTTCAAGAAATAAGCATACAAATAATAATAATAATAAGTGTTCTTGATTTATCTTGGTTTTGTACGTCAGCAAGTTAGCGGAAATAATAATAAGAATTTCTTGGTTTATCTTGTTTTTGTGTATCAGCAAATTAGGAAAAATCCCAAACTATTAAGCCATTATTATAAACGATATATTTTATTTCATTTTCCTTTCGACTCAAGCTTTTACTTACATCACTTCAGTTTTCTTTTGACGTAAAAGAGGAATATGAGTAAAATTGCTTGAAGATACCTAAAATACCTAAGTGTGACGTAAGTGATGCGCAAATGTTAATTTATACACAATTTATTTGAGAAACTATTACAGTTCTACATAAGGGTTGCCTACATATGTACTTCTTTGAACAATTGTAACACATTTCTAATGATATTTAGACCTACATTATTCTAACAATTCTTAGAACTATGACAAAATTGATCCAGAAATATATATGTATGTAATCATTGCATGGAATTCAGAGTCAGCATGAAAGAAAAAATTATGACATAAAATATTGTTAAAACAATTGTTATTGGCTACGGCACTGCAAAAGATTGATTAAAGAACATAACGATCAAACAAACAAAACAAAACAAAACAGAAAAAAATACTACTATAATTTGTTAATACCATTAAATGAAATAAAAATACATTATAAAATAAATTTAATGAATATGCTTTACTAAATGAAGGAAAATATTGTGTAACTGCATAAAACAACTGTATAATTGTACAAAATTAATAAAATAATATAAAAAATTAATGTAATATAAAACAATATGGCAAAAAGAAACAAATAAAAGAACAAATTTTACATTTCCTGGCGTTTCTCAAATGCCGTATTGGTTCTTTCGTAGTTTCTGACAGCTTCTTTGAGAGCGTCATAAGTATTCAGATCGGATAGCTCTAATATAATTCTTCCCAATATTTCCTCAATCTCATAACTGTTAAAAACAACAAAATATATTTTGAATGTAAGAGGGGATGTATTTCGAGACGTATTATAAGCAGTTTAAACAATTCCTCGTTGGGCACACTTTACTAATTCCTATAAAATGCCATATTAGTTAAATATAAAATTAATAAAGATATATCATAAAATAACTTCTTATGTAAAACTCATAGAATAATTAATGAACTAGAAAAATAATTAACCATACAGTTTAATGAAAAAGAATAATAATTAAATAATCCTCTTTGCAAAATCGTCTATAATTTTATATCACGAAGCGAATAAAATGACCTTGCGACGCCCTTGATAAATTTACAAGTTAATGGCTTAAATTTTTGACAAAGCAATTCAATTATTAGATTTCGTTATTTAGTCTCCTATTATTATTCGTGATTTTAAAATTTTGTAAAGACAATTATTTAATGTCTTGTTTCCGATAAACTATATGATGAATTAATTTTCTACGTTTATTAATTACTTTATAAGTTTCAAATAAAAGCTTATTTTGAAGGAAATGTTTAAAAATTTTTTCTTCAACTTTTTAAACTTAATGGCCCATTATTAATCAGACTATTCAACTAAAAAATCATTTTTCAAAAATGAATAACACTGTTTTACATCCAGTAGTTCTTTTAAGTTAAATGCCCGAAGGGAAAAAAAAAAAAAAAAAAAAAAAAAAGAACTATGATGTTACCAAAAAATGAGATATTACATTAATATCATCTCATGTAAACAAAATATCATTTGAAAGAATTTTTTCTCGCTTTATTTGATGTTGCAAACAGTAAAATTATAAGATTTTTAGTTTGTTCTTTAAAAGTAAATATGTGCGAAAAATTGTTTCACATTAAATGGAAAAAAAAAAAAAAAAAAAAAAAAAAAAAAACTGACGCGGAAACCACATGACTTCCTTGTACGGAATATTAAATTATACGCATTTTTTGCTGCATTTCATTTAAATTTATTTATTCGAATTTCATTAGAGATATATTTGTCATTCAATTAATTCAGTTCTCACTTCGCGGCAAGGCAAAAATACATAAAACCTCAAAATATCTTCATTAAAAATTGAAAGATATAGGAAAACATAAAACATCAAATGCAGTTAAAACAATTTAAAAAAATTACAATTAAAATTAGAGTTTGTAAGCAGAAACAAGCAATTCGGCCAGCAGGCAAGAAGGCAGATTTTTCGGTGCACAAAATTAAAAGTTCCCACTCCACAAAAAAAGACAATCAAGGTGCAGAAAATGACTTGATTCAGTATTCTGCTGAGTTTCAAATGCAAACAAATTTTGGCTGCTATGGTAAGAAAAATCAAGCATTTAAATTATTGATAATTCTACAACTATTGAATGCAGATTAACTAAAGACATAAAAACCTTAACAGAAATATAACAACATAATTCCATTATTTTTAAAGCAAAAAATGCACAATTTATTAACATATAAGAATAAAATCTGAGATCACTGAGATGAGTAACAGAGTGTATATAATATATATATATATATATTTATATACGTTTGGTGCCGCCGATTCAAACAAAAAGTGAGGTGCACAACTACATGTTATAGCAGACCTATATGCAAAATTTCAAAGCTCTGAGGCTACTCGTTTTTGAGTTATGCGAGATACATACGTACATATGTACGTACGTGCAGATGCTACAAAAAAAATCTCTTCTGAATCCATTTTAAATTAGTTTTATAATTCGTTTGGAGAAAAAGAGTCCTTTATTCTGTCCTTACTTACAGATTTCACGCAAAAATATCGTTAAATTGCATTCGATAACGGTCAAAATGTATATTATACTTGAAATATGATTGTTCGTGATTACAATACTTCCTTTACCTCGCACAAGGAAGTAAAAAGTCAAACTCGAATTTAAAAAAAAAAAAAAAAAATCGCTTCATTACATTTTGTTATCATAAAAACTCTGGAGAGTGTCCTAATTAAGGTTTTTAAAATATCTATAAAAATCAAAAAAAGAAGAAAAAGGGAAAGAAATAACATATTAACATTTATAAAATAACAGAAGGGTCTTATAGCAAGCTTAATTTCTTTCCAAGTAACTCTTTCTCACAACGGGATATCTACATGAAAGCAACAAAAACAGTGTGACGTACAGTGGCTCACATTTGTTTTCGGACACTTGTATTTTTGAAATGCATCTGCACAGATCTTGCACTAAATATTGAAACAAAGATTTCAAATTCTTTTCTTAATGTGTTCTTTTTTCTCTGCTTTAAACCTTGCTTGTTGCAAAATAAATGTTATGAAAATATTTTTTCATGAAATAATTTATTCAGAAAGTGTTAGTTAATGATTCACATAATAGTTCGAACATTCAAAAGTTTGTTGAAATATTTCGGTGGACGGTGTTCTTTGTCATATTTGTTTTTATTTTAAATAATAATGTATCACAAGAATTGTCGTCTGCATTTGGAAATTATCACTTGTTTAGAAAAATATAGGAACATTTGCATATCTGAAGAGAATATGGCAAAAGACACTAGAAATTAACGACTATTTCTGTTAGAAATTTAATTATTCGTTATTTTAAAGATGGCAAGTATTCTAAATATCCTAAAAAAATCCGATGTAAAGAGTTTAACTATCTTGGGTACATTAAAAGATGCAAATAGCTTGGGCCTGTTGAAAATGCACTCAAGTCTAAACCAAATTCCAAACTAATGCTAGGGAATCGGAGATTTATTGTATAAGAAAAATCAAAGAAGATTCAAATATTAGTGCTGTAAGACTTGCTGTGAATTTAAAGAATAGTATGCAATACAATTTAACCCTAAAATTGTTAGAAAATTTATTAGGGCATATAGATATAATGGGTAATCAGCAAGAAGGAAATTCTTCCTCAACAAGAAAAAAATGAAAGTACGGCTGGCATTCGCAAAATCCGTGGTAAACAAATATTTATCACATTGGAATAACATTATATTTGCAGGGGAGTCAAAATTTAATAGATTTGGGTTCGATCGACAATTTCTGTGCTGTGTGCGAAAACTGAATCAAGAATTTAATTCGGAAAACTAATTGCTTACTGTTAAGTATGAGAGTGGAAGCATAGTTGTTTGGGGATATTTTTCTGTTTCTGGGATAGGAAATTTAGCTTTTATATAAAATAATAGATATCACTACAGATATTCCTAACGAAAACTTGAAAGCATCTGAGTAGTAAGAGGCCGTACTCGGTAGGCGGAAGTGACGTCACAGAAAAGGGGCGTGGTCGCCGCCATCTTGAATCACGTGACAAACGGAAGTGACGTAGATGGGAGGAATGATGTAGACGCAATGACATCATCAAAGTTTCGTTTTGATTCTGTGGCAACGATTTTATGTTTCAAAGTTTTTATTTTTTGTGGCAACGAACAATTTTTATGTTTATGGCAACAGTATCTTGAACTACGTGTGTTTGTAATGACATCACTTTTAATTTATTATTTTTAATTATTTGACATGTGATTAATTATTTTTAACTATTTAGTATGTCATTAATTTTAATTATTTACTCTTTTTAATAAGTATTTTAATTATTTACTACGTTATTATTTTAATTATTACCTTTAATTAAATTTTATTGAATTTAATATTATTTTCGCTGAATTTTAAAAATAACTCCACGAGTGAGATTCGAACCCGCAAACTTTAGTTTGGAAGGCGATTTCCCAAACCACTATGCCAGCGAGATCTTACAAACAAAGTCACATTATCGCGTTGAGTAGAAAAACAACCATTACGTCAGGAGGCTGGGGGAAACAGGTAAACGTCATCTCTTTCACGTTGCAGCATGCCGAAACCGCTTCACGCTTTCTACATCTGCCCTGGCGAACGTATACAATCTTAACAACCAATCAGCATTTCGCTAACAATATTTATCTTATTTCAGCCGATGTTTTCATTTTTCATCTTATTCTTACTATTTTTTAAGTTATTAGTTAATTTATTAATTTTTTATTTCATTTTTTTTTCCCTTTCCCCAAACATAAATTTTATTTTTTAACTTTCGCAAATTGACGTTTATTTCTACAAAAGTGAATTGAAATTTTCTTTTTACTTTTTTACTTTGCAAAAGTTTTTTTTTTTTTTTCAAATTTATTCCTTTTCGTATTTTTACTTTTTTTTATATTTAACTTTCTTTTTTTGGTTTTACTAAAGTAATATTTTATTTTTAGAAATTTATTTTTTTCCTTTTCACTTTTTTATTTTGCAAAAGTTTTTTTTTCCAAAATTTTTTCCTTTTCGTATTTTTACTTTATTTTAATTTTTTTGTTTAAACTTTTTTTTCTTTCTGTTTTTGGTTTTACAAAAGTAATATGAAGAAATAAATAAGCCTAAATAGATTGTAATATCAATGAACATTTTTAATGACAGAGATTAACTTAAACATAGTTGCGTACAGCAGAGCAAAAAGGCGAAGAAGTAAGAATGGTATACATATACATACATACGTAATAAACAGTTACGTCATCATTCATCACGCGGATAAACGCGAACGGCGCATGCGTCAGGAGAAGCTCTCTTAAGCTAAACGTCGTATTATAATTTATGATACAACAATCCCCCTTTCGACGTTTGGCGGCTGAAAAAAAAATAAACATTAATCATTTACAGTTATTCCAATTAATTTACAGCACTTAGAATGTTTCGAAGCAGTCAATGTTTTTGTCAGTACATCTGCAGGCATTTTCTCTGTTGGCACATATTTAACGTCTATTTCATTTCTTTCATAAATTTCACGAATGAAATGATGTCTAATATCTATGTGTTTAGTGCGTGAGTGATAAACAGCATTTTTCATAAGCTTCTTGTGCACCTTGATTATCACAATATATAATGGTTGGATAATCAGCAGTAAAATTTAATTCTTTAAGAAAACGACGTAAATAAACTGCTTCTTTGGCACTTTCTGAAAGACTGATGTACTCTGCTTCAGTACTTGATAATGCAACAGTTTGTTGCTTTCGTGATTCCCA